CAATAATCACTGATCAATAATCAATAATCACTGATCAATAATGACTGATCAATAATCAATAATCACTGATCAATAATGACTGATCAATAATCAATAATCACTGATCAATAATCAATAATCACTGATCAATAATCACTGATCAATAATCACTGATCAATAATGACTGATCAATAATCAATAATGACTGATCAATAATCAATAATCACTGATCAATAATCAATAATCACTGATCACCATCATTTAGCAGCTAAAGCTGTAAACAGATGTCAGTCCTGCAGAGCCACTAGCAGGTGCTGCAGCTGACTGGACGCCTCCGTTTGGCCCCGCCCATCCTGCACCAGAACCAATCAGAGTCTTACCTGCAGTGTGGTGTCAAACACCACMAGTTTGGAGCTGGTAGGGATGATGTCATAACACTTGTGACACTTCATGAAGCGCATGTAGATGTCCCGCTCTGACTCCTCTGACCCTGCAGACAGGTTAGAACCAGACCATCAGAACCAGACCATCAGAACCAGACCATCAGAACCAGACCATCAGAACCACTCAGTCCATCCCAAACCCATCAGAACCAAACATTAGTTCTCAGTGGAGTTCTGTACTGTAAATTTATGTACTACATGTACTTTATGTACCATGTGTACACATGTGAACCATGTGAACCATGTATGTGTACACATGTGTACACATACATGGTTCACACAGTACACATGTGTACACATGTGTTCACATAGTTCACATGGTTCACATGGTTCACATGGTTCACATGTGTTCACATGGTTCACATGTGTACACATGTGGACACATGTGTACACATGTGAACCATGTGAACCATGTGTACACATGTGAACCATGTGAACCATGTGTACACATGTGAACCATGTGAACCATGTGAACACATGTGCACACATGTGAACCATGTGAACCATGTGAACACATGTGAACCATGTGAACCATGTGTACACATGTGAACCATGTGAACCATGTGAACACATGTGCACACATGTGAACCATGTGAACCATGTGAACACATGTGAACCATGTGAACCATGTGTACACATGTGAACCATGTGAACCATGTGAACACATGTGAACCAAGTGAACCATGTGAACACATGTGAACCATGTGTACACATGTGAACCATGTGAACCATGTGAACACATGTGAACCATGTGAACAAATGTGAACACATGTGAACCAAGTGAACCATGTGAACCATGTGAACACATGTGAACCAAGTGAACCATGTGAACACATGTGAACCATGTGAACACATGTGAACCAAGTGAACCATGTGAACACATGTGAACCATGTGAACACATGTGAACCAAGTGAACCATATGAACACA